CGTACGTAGTACGAGTAGTAGTAGTAGAGTATAGTAGATACGATAGAGAGTAGAGTAGACGTAGAGAGAGAGAGAGAGAGAGAGAGAAGAGAGAGAGAGAGAGAGAGAGAGAGAGAGAGAGAGAGAGAGAGAGCACAGAGCCCCCCCAAGTCCAACTACTACGAGGCTCGTGTGATGCCAAGGGTTCACCTCCCACCTGGCACCATCCCTGGTTATCCTCCGTTTCAACAGTTACCAACTTGCCCCAATCTCTCTTGTCTTTGTAAAATTCCATGACTGTCCTTAATTTTAATTAAAATAAAATAAATTGATTTTCAAGCCCCCTCTTCATCATATGAGTTATATCCTCATGCTATAAAATAAATTGAATGCGTTTTTTTCTTTTCTTTTTTTTTGGATATTTTTTATTTCTGTTTTCTTTATTGTTTTAATATATTTTATATATAAATATACATTTTATTTATATTCAATTTTGAAAAAAAAAGGTCCAAAGTCTTCCCCCAAATTGACCGAAGCACCGAATTGCTTCATTTTTCTGACCAAACTGAAGAAGGTTCCAAAGAGAATCTAACAATACTGCCAATAGGCGTCATCTCATCATTAAAGTTCTCAAGTCAGCTGCCAAACCCCAGGATTTCCTTCATGTATACTTCTTCCAAGTCTCCATGGATGACTACATTGTACATGGGCCACTTGTTTGTTGCTTTGGCTAAGATAGTCTTGGCACTGGGCGAACTTGGGAAAGAGAACTCTCATGGTATGCGTTGATCAAAAAAGAAAAGGCTGTCATGGTAAACAGCACATACCCTTGGTTACAAGCCGTTCTTTATTTCTTGATTGACATGATTTAAACCCCAGCTCTATACCAATCTGTAACTAATTACATTTTTCTTCTGGGTAGTGCTACAGTGCCAAGTGTCATTTCTTAAAGGGCTTGAATTTCCTCCTCAATTCCCCTCATCGATTCAAGATGGGCATTGATTTCAGTATAATAAGATGTCAAAATGTTTATTTTTTTTTTTTGTCAAGATGTACTTTGTTTCATTCATTAAAAAATTTGTGTGCCTGTATTTTTTTTTTTTTGAATCTTGTAACATTGTATTAAAAGGATGGTATTTACAATAACTCTGGGAGCAAGCCGGGAAACCCAAACAAAGGGGGGGAGAATCTACATTCCAAACAAAGAATATAAGACATGACTGAAAGCAAATAGATACAATAAAAGGAAGATAAAAGAAAAACAAACAACCAAAGAACCAAGAAAGCGATTATCAGGCTGGCAATTTTAGTGCGGTGTTTGCTTGGCTCTTTGTTTAGCTAGATTGTCAGCCTACTGGTCGGCCTCCCTCCAGATATGCACCCATAAAAGAAAAATAAGATATGCATGCATGCTTTCATGTATAAAATGGAGCCTGCACATCCAAGACTCAATCAGAAAATGAGAACTGTATGAAAATCCTCATCTCTATTACCTATGAGTGACTCAATCTTATGCTAGTCATATCTGCCACCATAACAAGTTCCTGAAATGGAAGATTTCTGAATCCTTTTTTGTGCTAATGTGTCCACCACTTTGTTTGTTCCCTGCAAATGTGTTGGAATTCTATGGTTATCCTTCTCATGTGGTAAAAAACCTGATCAAATAAGCTACTCAATGCCATGGACATTTCTCTTCCCCTTCACTGTAGGTCCAATTATGAGGGCCTAGGCCTCATCCTCAATATTGTTATGTCGTTGCAAAGGGAAAAGATAAGTTAGAAAGACTTTTTCTTGATCATTTTTGGTACATACCAGGGTTGCCTTTGGAACTCCCATAAAAATCTACTTAACAAATACAAATGGGAGTCCCAACTGTCTGTCTTATAGATACCCCCCTCAAGGGTGTTTCATTTTATGATATATGAGGTTGTTGAAATTTCTGTGCGAACTGAAATTTCTGTAGCTCCCTTACTGTTGGGGGGTGGAGAGATAAAAAGTCAAGTGTACAAATCTATTGTGCTTAAGTTATTTAGATATGGTACATGAAGAACAAAGATGTTAAACTTGAATGCGCTATAAATAGGGCATATCATACTCGAAATGTATCATTACACTGTATGTGGACACCGTATGTCCATAGAGTAAATGAATGATGCTGCTAGTCTTGTATCCCGTAAATTGTCATTTGAAAAAGGGTCATTGAATAAAACAGAAGGGTTTTGCTTCTGTGACCTGTCATATGGTAATCTAGTTGGACTTTTGGCTAAATGTAGTACGATGGAGACTCTTTTGTTCATCAGATTCATTTATATATGGAGAGGATTTCACCATCCCTTAAAGAATATAAATGTTTTTTGGCTTCTTTGTAGCCAAATTGAATCCAATTTAGTCCGGCTCAGAAATGGTACACAAAGAAAATGTTTTTTCAATGTTTCATCCAATCTTCTTGTGCTCTGACAGCAGGTTAGAAAAGGTTTTTTTTTTTTTTATACTTCAAATTTTTATATGTAAGTCTCATTTGATTATGAGATAATCTACAAAACTGTCTATTATTATCTTGGGGAATCTAGAGAAAATATGACCTGATGGCCTTAATCATGGTATAATCACTGATTGGACAAAAACGTTATAAAAAATACGATGTCCTAATTACAAAATTGGGAAGAGTGGTTAATCACTTGGAGAAATAATTTAGTTGGATCTTGTAGCTCCCACCCCCACTAAAGTGTGCCAATTAATTATGTTCTGCCCATGATAATTGCTGAATGCAGCCAATTGTTTCATTACTAAGTTAAGGTTCCATATGATATGATATTATGCTTCATGCACTAAAAAAAGTATTGATACTTCACAACATTAGCGGGGGAGAGTTGCCTGTGTACAGCAACATAAGAAACAGCTTGGCCGTTTGTATTTATTAGAAGCTATGAATTGGGGGAGCTTGATGTGGGTCAGCTTCTTGAATGATGATGATCTTAGCTTGTGGCAAAATGGCTGTGGCAGCTCCAATGGAGAATATGAAATAAAGCTGAACCTTGTTGTAATATTGGCCGGTGATTCCATGTATTTTACTACCTTGGTCAAGAAGATACATGGTTATTCTCAGATTCAACGAAGAGCTTTTTAAGGATCCTAATGGCTGTAGAATCTCTGTTGAACAAGGATACTTTTTGCGTGTCACATGAATCCGAAAATGCATGATTTCTTAGCGTTCGGTGATTCCGTTGCTCAATAAATGACTTGCTTCTCTGAGGAAGCGAGGTTTACATATGCATAATCTTTTTAAGTAGCCATATTGGTTTTTTAACACTGGGGGGACAATTGAAAAGAAACTTGAAGGCCTTACAAACTTTAACCCTTCCTGGACCACACCCCTAGTTGTGAAAGGAGATTCCTCCAATATCATCTCTTGGGCTTTGGGTGTATCCGCCCCTCCCTGGGGCCTCATTTCTGTTTTTGATGAAATCTTCAACATTTGCAGGCAAATACAGGTCTGTTGGGTGCATATCTTGCATGAGGCCAACCACAGTACCGACGCACTCACTCAAGAAGGCGCTGCCCAGGTGGATGACTGAGGATTTTGTCCGCAGATGGCTCTTATCTCCTGTTTTTTGTACTCCATGATTTGTATAGCAGTTTTTGACTAATGCCACCATCTCGTTGGTTTTGTATAGCGCACCCATGTTGTGGGTAGCCTATTGTTTGGTATAGCGTTCCCATGTTGAGGGTAGCCCATTTTTTGTATCTTGTACTAAATCCTTACTCAATACATAGGCAGCATATTATTAAAAACAAAGAAAAGAAAAGAAAAGAAACTTGAATATTTACCAGACATTGCTGTAGTTGCTTGCTTGCTTGCATGCATGACAATTTATTTGTGCTGTAGATTCCTTGTTTCTTCGTGAAGAAAGAGTTACATATATTTTCTTTATCTATAGACATCCAGTACTTGTTTTTGACTGAAATTTCCCAATGTTGTTGCCTATTGTCATCTTTCTGTATCATGATTTTTTCTAGGTTTGTTTCAATTTCAACATTTCATGCATTAATGTCATCCAATTAGTTTCTTTTGAAAAGTCCCACTGAAATTTCAATTTACTAGAAACAAAGAAAAGAAAAGTCCTTCTGAAACAGTCAGAAATTTGGAGCATTAGCCCTTGATCTCCCCTGCAACTTAAACCAAGCCTTTTCCATTCATCGTATGAAAATAGAGGAAACAAGATAAATGACAGACTAATGCAAGAGCAAATATTATAATGAACTATGAAGGTCTTGTAAATTAAGTATTACTTTTTGCCTTTCCACATCTATTACTGATTTTCTTTCACATCACTTCAAGATTTGCATCTTAATATGGCCTCCCTTTGTGTGAGCAGGGATGACATTGTCTTCAAAGATCGTCTGAACACCTTTGGAGGTATTGACAACTATAAGCTCATCTTCAGGGCCTTGCGCTTCTATGGAAGGATCTTCTTCAAGGCATTGTGGATTGATCTCCACACCGTTTGGCAGCCTGTTGAGAGCACAATCATGATCAGATGGACAGTCCATGGCATCCCTAGGGTACCATGGGAGAGCCAAGGCAGGTTTGATGGCACATCAGAGTACAAACTGGACAAAGATGGAAAAATCTATGAGCATCGCGTTGACAACTTTGCTCTTAATTCACCTCCCAAGTTTCGAGTTTTGGGTGTGGAGGAGCTTATACAGGCACTTGGCTGTCCTTCAACCCCGAAACCAACTTATTTCGAGATAATACCTGTTTCATTTACAACGTACATGTCATATTTTATGTGGTTCACTTGGGTGAGGTATTATCTTGCTCTCTGTATAACCCTATGTTGGATATGTGCAGTCGCTTGAGAGTCCTTTTTTTAAGGCATTGTACCACCCATTATGTGGGTTGATATGTTTTTTTTACAGTTTTGGTCAAAATCTTTGGGGCATCACAATAGAGCATATGCATCTCTGTAAATGGGAATTTATACTAGATGTATATAGTTAAAAGTGAGATACCATCCTGATCAATGTGAAATGCTGTCTGGGATGTGGGCAGCAAGGCGAGGTTGCCTGTGGACTTGGAGAAAAGTATACAATACTGTAAAGTAACTGAGCATCGACTTTGATTGCTTATGTGTATTTAGTACTGCTTAACTGTCCATGAGGATTCTCTCTTAGGCGAAAACTCAATGTCATTGTCAGAACCCATTTTCCATATTCATTATACCATGAAGGGCATTGCTTCCTGATTGGATGGTTTTTCATTTGGCATTAGCAAAAGTTCCTTCTTAAATGTTTGTTTCATCGATGAGAAATCTGAGCTGGACTGATATGAACCCCCATCTATGGATGTGTGACTAAGGATATATCATTAGTCACCCTTCCCCATGTTGGTGGAAATCATAGTTGCCCATTGTGCAGAATTCGTTTGCTGTATTTACGTGGGTGAGTTTGCTTTTTAAATTACTGTTGCAGGAAAAGCAATTCTAAGCCTATGCAAAGTCACACAAAGTAAAGCTGCTAACAGAAAAATGGTTCAGCCTGGTGTGAAGTGACTTCTGCCATGGCCTAAGTGCACAGGAGCCTGCAAGACATATCGTAATGTTAACAGCTACCATGGTGGGATCGTTCGCAAATGCGCAAGCAGCCGTTGCAGTGGAAATGTTGCTGTCCCCTTGCAGATTGGGCCCAATGAATCATGTGAATTGTTTCAAGGAACATGGATTTGTGTGACACCTGCCTCTCTTCAGTTTTTTGCACAGCGTGTTGTGTGAGGCTTACTTCTATATTATCATCTCTAGAGCTTGTTTATGATGGGGTTAACAACATTTAGATTGATGTCATTGTGATACATAAGATTCTCTTACCTTTTCTTCTCCCATGCTTGTAACCCGATTTCTTTTTGCATGATACCAAGATGTCTTGCATGGTTTTGCAGATCCTGTTTATAATATAGGAGCCCAGGATGTCTTCTCCAAAGCTGCATATTAAGCCAACATCGGAAATGGAGGATGTTTACATAAAACTTGAACAATCAAATAAGATGCATTTTGAAACCCTGTCAAAAGATGTAGTTTTGGTGCTAAAAGCTTTTACATTAGTCAAAAACTCAATTTTGGCTCCCAATTTTGAAATTTAAAGCTCCGAAAGTGGTGAAGATCGAGTAAACATTTAAACTTGAAAATGGATGGCTTGAGATAATGTGTTATAAGATATATTATTTTTAGGACGTAACATCTTTTTTTTATATCCATACATCTCAATGTTCAAATGATCAATCCAATTATCAATTGGAGAATTTTCTAATAGATTTTTGGTTGCAATATATATATATATATATATAGGGATAATCTAAACTTTACAACCCTTCAAATTACAAAGGTTAAAGATATATAGACTTATGAAGGACGGATTTATTAATTTTAGAGTATATATTTTAAAAAAAGTTATTTTTTTTTTCGTATCTTCATCATTAAGTAAAGAGAAGTTTGAAAATATTATTGCAAGACAAAGGGTATTTTTGTCATCTTCATAAATGGTAAAGTTGAAATTTTAGTAAAAGACAATGACACTCTACAAATAAATTTTTAGGACACAAATTTTTAAAATGCTATTGTATTTTTGTAAAAATTTCAAATTTTTTTTTTGCTTAATGGTTAAGTTACCTATTAAAATAATTTTTTAAACAAAGAGTGATATCTTTTTGATAAATGCACCCATCACAACTTTTTTTAACTTTAACCTTTGTATTTTGAAAGGTTGTTAGCTCTAGACAAATCCACACACACACACACACACACACACACACACACACACACACACACACACACACACACACACACACACACACACACACACACACACACACACACACACACACACACACACACACACATATATATATATATATATATATATATATATAGGGAAAAGATCCTGTCAGCCCAATGGCGTACTGTTACAGTAAACGCCAACAGTCCAGATTGAATTTGAGCCGATATGACGATC